CTCAAGAAAATGCAGTACAGGCAAGTCTATATCTGCATCACGTATAGTTGAGTTTAGCTCAGGGATCATCTTCAATCCACCTACTTGCCTTTGATGTGTTGAGCTCCTGGCGTGTCGTAGCAAGGACGCCTTGTTGTAATGCGTAGCAATAGTATGCACCACATCTCAGCAAGAGTAAAACTTTAAATAGACATGCAATTCAGCAACTCCTTTTGGAATTGTAGACTTTGCTACGCTGCGAGCAAACCTCTCCCCTCAAAACTTTCTCGGCTGGTGGTGATAAAAGCGAAAACTTTAGAAAAATTCCTGCTTTGTCGCAAAGTTTTCTTTCTTTTTTTGGACCACGGGGGATTTTTCATGCTCAACTGCAGATGTTTGGAGAGAAGATTTAAAAAGGCAGCATTTTTAAAAACTTAAGTAAGGCGATTATTACTTTTTATGCCAACCATTCGTACTTTTTTATCACGTTAAAGCACATAAACACACTAGATTAAAAAAACCTCCGGCTCTTCCATGGAAGGGCAGCACAGCGTGGTGAAGGCTGGGCAGGGCGACTGTTTTGGACGTGCAGGAGGGATGAAGGGGTAACGGGGGGCTGTAACCGGGGCCGCCAATAATTTGGAGGGAGATAGGAAAAGGGGGTGTGGCAAGAGGGGAGGGGAGGGAAAGGAGGGGCAGTAGAAGTGGTTGTTGTATGATCAAAGGCTCAGTGAATTGTGTCACAGACAGACGGAGAAGAATGGCATTGGATGGTGTGACTTGCATTTTGATTTCCTTTGAGAGCCAGTGGTGGTGGAGGTGGTGGTGGTGGTGGGGGAGAGGGAGAGCGGGGGAGAGCGGGGTGGTGATGGTGGGAGTTTTTAGGCCCTGTTTTGATCCCATTACCAACAGTTATCAGGTCACTTGTTGGACCATAAAGGATGAGAGTGAAAGTTTCAGCTAAACCCAAGAGTTTCATTATGTCGCATCCCATTTTCCAAAGTTATAATGAGCTTTAGGGTCACATTTTGTACTTAAATCACAGTGCGTTGATGGAGAATATAAAATAACCAACTGTGTGCACGCTCTTAGCTTAGAAAAAAAGGGGCAAACTCGACTTTCTTCAACAGGAGACATCACTACAACACTAAAGCAGGAATCACTGTTTATATTATTATTATATTATAACAAGATCACACACGAGCAGGAGCTTCCTCTACAGGTGGTTTTCCAGAAAGGGGCGGTACGTTTGCTGGGGGTGTGGCCGTCTTGAGTGGCAGGTGGAGTTCAAATCCCTGCCAGGATTTCATTGAGAGTGTGGCCTGTGTAACATTATATTCATGTGAAAGGCTGCCTCCCCCATGGGCAGGACAGACGGGGGCAGAACCAGAGCCGCCCCCTTGTGGCACTCGGAGGGCGCCAGTTGCCCTACACCCAAACCACCGGTACGGACGGAGGAGCTAAGTGGAACAACCGGGTGTTTCCAGTGGGCTGAGCTTGTGCGATTTGGGGCCTAGCGGGGAAAGCTAGCAGTTTGGAACACAAGAGCGAACACAAGGGAGCGAACAGTCTCTGTCATTTTGTGTGTTTGTGTGTGTGTGACGGCACGTTTGCATATGTGCTCGTTAGTCTTTTGTGTGCGCGGGCCAGTAGCTGTGACCCACTTCACCAGATCGCCGTCCAAACCGAGCTCCTTTTCCTTTCGCTCCCTCATCCCCACATCCATCAACGCCTACGTCAACATCTGACAAAAAAGAAAAATCCCTGTGGTGGAGATAATGGTGCAATGGCCAGCCTCTAAAATAACAACATGGTCCACAACAACAACACTGTCCCATTTGGAGTGCAAGAGCCCCCGCACAATGGCCTAGTGTTCAGGGCCCAGGGGCGCAGGCGGGGCTCCCCACTGCCATCCAAGCTGTTAGACAAGCAGGCGAGAGAGGTCATAATCACACAGCAAGCAGCACTCCACTTCCTGGTCCTTGGTTAGGTTGACTAAAACACAGAGTCAGTCTTTAGATCCCCTCCTACACCCACTCACTGCTTCTTCCCTTGCAGCACGCTCACAGCATAACTCACACGAGATACAAAATGTTACCTTAGTTGACTGGGATGTGCGGCATGCACCGGAGGATTGTTACGGTTTGCAGAGCGATGATATGTGGGAGGGGCAGGTTGAATGGAAACCTGACTCAGTTACGCTCTTTTATCTTTGTCTTTCCCTTCAATTTTGGTGTCCTCCAAAACCTGAGAGGTAGAACATGCTCTGAAATTATCATACCAAATGTGTATGTAATGTATACCTGTGCTGCCTGCCTGCTCCTGCCAGCCCTAGGCTAATATCTATCTTCCAAGCAGTCAGCTAGAGCACAGCGGCGCTCTGCTCACCTGTGTTTACAAGGGAAAAGCAGCTTTAAGAAAATGCGCAGTGAATCTGTGAAATGCAGGAAGATGAGGTGACTGCATCCTCTGAATCTGTGAAAAGGTGTTTTTGAGTCTTTGAGGAGCCTTTCTGTATGATGACCCCCTCTTTGGCTTTCCTTGCTCCGTTGGTAGAGTGATAGATGTGTTTCAAACAGTTCTGATTGAACGTCGGAGCTTAATCTTTCATGTTTCATCATACGCACATTTGTCAGTGCGTGGGAGGTCTGTGGAGGAGGATTCAAGGATGACTGCTTTTTTTTCTGTAAAGGTGCATTTCACAATCCAAGAGCGAATGTATGTGGAACGTGTACGTCTGCAGATGTATACGTCTTCAGTCGTAGATGTCATCCCAACTTTGATACCCCGAAGGCAAATGGTTTTCTTTAGTTCTTCACTGTTAAAACTGATGCCTCCGTCGTCAGATTTCATCGAGAAAAGATGCTACTTCGTGAAGCTCCAAAATGGCACACGTTGTCCACATTCCTTCCCTATGACTCTTCCATAGTCCACCTGATTTGCATCTGACCCCCTTACTATGAGCTAAGTCCTCCCCAAAACCCCTTCAGGTCAGGGGCTTGACCCTTCAGCCTTGTGGCACTGAAGTGACCGGGCGCTTTCTGAATATCTCTTCAATTGGCCCGCTGCACAACTAACCTGCTCCCAACGTGATGAAGTGGGGTTCAGAGGTCAGGGGTCAGCGGTGGAAGAAGGGTATCTTGGGTCATCAGTAGTGGCCCAGCGGCCAGCGTAGCCTCAGGCTCGGCGCCACAGTGCTCGCTGATTGGAGTGGTGTGGTCATTGGGTTAATAGGATAAGTGGCCTGCAGGTCACTTTGGCCCAGTTTAATGCTAATACAGGAGCTTGTCTTTGCACTGTTGCCAGGGTGGGGAATGGATCCAGGATCTGCAGACTGGTTACAGTTTTAATCCATCCTTGTTTGAACACGTCATTATTTCGTCCCAGTGAAGTGCTGACAGCTGCAGTTGTAATCTACTTTTTCCTTACATTTTCCTTGTGGTTTGTGTTTAATTTGCACCATTTAAGTGATGGTATTACTTTTGTCTTCACTCCAGATACAGATTAGAGCTGACCGAGACTGGCTAATGGCAGATATAACTGTATTGGCATATATGAAAACTTAATTTTGCAGAACATAATACAGAAAAATGTTGCTTGGGATGTTTTAGAAACTGTGTCGTCACATAGTTTTTCTAGCAGAGCCACTACTGCTCCACTGTTTACAATACTTTCTGTACAATCTGCAGCACATGTAGCAGAGTATGTCGGTGGTGTGGAGTCAGGCTTTGTCTTCATGGTAAATTGCAAACAAGTTTGTGAAATACATTGCTTGAAGTTCATTTTATTTCTTAAATATAACTGTAACCTAATATATAAACAGTACCAATCAATATATCAGAGTTTCCTACTCCGTAACATCCAACATTTGGCGGGCTCTTATACAGATGCCTCTAGGTCATCCTACAAGATTAGTGACTAGATAAAGCTTTAGATAAAGCTTAAACTGTGGAGTAAAGATTGTGTTGTTGTTTTTTTTATTCTCATTACGTGGCAAACTGTCTTATAGTTCGCTACTCTCGAGAGTCTTCAAAATCTTCCCCCAGCCAAGACAACTGGAGCAAAATAGGAAAGTGCTTTGAGATAAATGCCTTTGTTATTTTGAAATTAAGCAGCCCGCTACCTCTTTGTTGTTTTGGACTCGGGGAGTGAGTCAGTGTTTGTGATGTCTGCCGTCTCTTTACCTTTAATCTTCTTAAAGACATTGTCTAGGTGCTGGCTCTGCAGAGCATTTTGGCAGAGAACTGGGCCAATTTAGTGGCCTTAAGTGTAAAGAGAGGACATGTGAAGATAGTCTGATGGATTGTATTTGTTGTGCTTTGGTCTGAAACATCAGCATCCGCTTTCTAATTTAAGAGACGATAAAATGTACCCAGTCATTGTGCGTGCATACACAAGCACAATAGAAATGGCAGCAACATTCATCATTTTGCAGCAGTGAGACTGGAAGTAGACTTAACGCACTTTTCCCTAAGTAGAAATTCAGCAAAAATCTGCCCCATCAGCAGATCCACGAAAGCATATAAATCCCGGTTTTGCTCATCTGCTGCTATTTCTCGAGAGGTCAGGTGGAATGCTACAGTGTATGTTTAGATCCTGCACGATTTTTGCAGCACACAGCGAATAGTTCAGACATCTAATGCTCTTAAGCTCTTAAAATTCATTATGGAAAATAGGTGACAAGTGGATTATAAATTGGCATATTCCCTAGAAAGGGCTGGGGGTGTATTCAAGAGTGATGAGTGCAGTTCTGAGCCAGTTGTTCGCCTCGTGCCTACAGCAAATTCATAAACCACTGTTGCCAAGACCCTCAAAGCTGATGAGAAAGTGTTGGGTGAAGAGCTCAAGACACAAAATTACATGTTTATCTAAGACTTGCTTGACATGCTTTTGCAAAACTTTGATTCTGGTTTCGGTGCATCATTGGTGTTGGAGTTGAATGCCAAGGCTGCTCACAGTCACCACATTAACTCATTACCTTTGACCTAAATACTAACCTGTCATTTGTCTCCTCTTTCCAGATGCATCCTTTGGGACTATGTAATAATAACGATGAGGAGGACCTGTATGAGTATGGCTGGGTCGGAGTGGTGAAGCTGGAGCAACCAGAGCTGGACCCCATTTGTCTAACCGTCCTGGGAAAGGTAAAGAACCGGTTGTTTCTACTTTCTGTGTTGTGTCTGCGCATCAGTAGCTACATTTGCCCTCGTACCTTTTACAGGTTATTTTACAAGCCCTGGATGAAATATTCGTTGGAAAGCTAATATTGTAGCATAGCTGCAGAAATACTGCACACATAGAGCAACAGCTTAAACTCTCTACAAGAAGTCAGGGAAAAATATCACTTATCACTTTGCATTCACAAGTATTCTATTTGCATACTTAATGGCAAGTATCAGGGTGCCGCTGTGGGTTCGTTGAGTCATGCAATATGGAAATCAACTTCGGTTTAACATACGACAGTTGGGGTTTTTGACACCTTCATCTGATGAGTTGTGTGAAAGGAGACCATATTTTTGGCAGTAACCTCTGAACTCCAAGCAGTTTCTGGGCGTTTTTATTCAAAGTGGAATTTTTACTGTGATATAAAGTCCTGTACCTCTATGTAAACAGCACAGACATGGCTAGAAGTAGAAAGACCTCAGATGTGTCTTTTGTGCTGTGTTACAAAGCTGTAACGCCACAAACAAGCAAACAACAACAAAAAAAAACAGTTACATTTCTTTGGGTTTTACCAAAACAAAAAACTGGAATCAGAAAGTACAACATTTTTCCAAGTGGCCACAGGTTTTATCAATACTGTTCAAACAGTTTGGTGGCTCTACATGTTGTAGATGTTGAGTTTTAATTCGTTTTCATACCCGGCACTTATTACCTCTGGATTGCACCAAGAAACACAGAATCTTTAACAGAATCTATTTTTGTCCAAATACTTTATTTTTGGCAATTTTAAATGAGACATGTAGAATAGAATGATTTTGATGAACTATGGTGTAAAATCATAGGTTTGGTTCATTTTTGAAGACAGGATAGAATAGAAAACCTGACAGTTCTTTGTTCCTGGCTCTGACAAATGGGCTAATTTGGTGATTTTCATTTTAAACGTAACATGCCTTTCAAACCTGCTGGCAGGATTCAGAGAGGCAATTCTCATTATAGATGTACTGCTTAATTTATTGACTATTAGGAAATTGTCTGACCGCATTCAGGGTAAAATTGCTCAGCAGTTTTCAAGGCCCAGAACACCCTCGGTTTTAATTTGAATCTATCGCCAGTTTTCTCCTCTTGGGACATGAATAGACTGAAAGAATAATAATGGGATTACTGTTTGCCTGTAAACTCCATCTTTGAAAAATCTCGAGGGTGCAGATCAAAATAGATGATAATGCTGTCTAGGTGTATTAACCGTTGAGATTCTTGGCTCCAAGAATGACGACAAAAAAATGTGCCGACAGCTCTGTGTTTGGTGTATGTAGACGGCCCCCCTCTGCCGCACTCAAGCTAAGTTCTTCTCCTTGTACTTAATTAAACCCTTTTAAGAATTTATCTTTGATCTTCTGTTGTCGCAGAGACAATTCATGGAAGGATGATTTAGTTTTATTTTGTTTCTTGCTTCCCATTGCTGGGAGAATGAGGGTGGACTGAATCCCTGCCTTGTCTCTCACAGCCCCTCCTCTATCCCCATCCTCCCTCCCTCCGGTGCCCAGACCCCTCCGGAGTCTCCGAGTGGTATTTTATCGTGCTTTAATTAAGTGTTCCTCTTAATGGAATGTACCAACATTCCCTGGAGGATGAGGGGGGGGTGGCCTGGCTATAGTCTCATTTATCCTGTGCATTCCCAGTGACAGAAAGAGAGCAGCCATTCATAATTTAAGGAGCCCTTGTGCCATAGACATGCTAATGGTGCACTTTCTTTGGTAGTGGTTGCTGCTACCTTGCTGATGCGTGCTGACACTGAGAACTGAAAACCAACGTGATTTTCAGCGGCTTCCCTTCGACCGTAATTATGAGCGTATTGTTGTCATGGATGCTCATCGGTACATGATTGTCATTGAGGTGACATGTCCATCTTTGAGAAGCAGTTAACAATCCCAGAGTGGATTTGCTGTTCACCTCCTACGCCTGCTATAATTGTCACGTGAACAGTTTTCTTGTAGAAACTGACGTGGTTCCACTCTTTATGTTTAATGGTGTGCAATCGGCTAGAGATCATATCAATTAATTGCAACTAGCATAGCCCACCTGAAGAGTGCATGGAACACAAAAATCACAGGGTCTCAAGTTCTGCTGCATCAACTTTAGTCTGTTTTTTTAAAACAGTGATATAGAAATGCAATGCTGAATTGGTGGATTATTCTCCTAAACAAGCAACATGGTGCATCAGCCTGTGTGAGGCATTGAATGGCAACACGAGCATTTAATAAGATGCTCCATCAGGAAGACTGGCATCAGTTATTGTTATGAGATTACCGTTTTATACTACAAGCGAAAGACCTTTTCAGACATGGAATATTAACAGAAAATATGAAAATATGGATGACGTCTTTGTGATGTCACCAATAGTTTGAAACTCAGTTTGGCCATTCCAAGTTGTCATCTTGGTTCCTAGCTAATCCAAAAGTGAGCAAAAAGGTGGAGCCTGGGTAGAACTGAGGCAGACCATGGACTGTTCTGGGATGGGACTTACTCGTCCCTCGGAGCAACTGCGCCCTTAATTATGCATAATTTGATTCTTAATACAATTTAAGTGAGTAATTTTCATTAAAAAATCACCCCTCTTGAAATTAAGACCAGCTGTAGAGACCACAGGCTGTAAACATCTTTATTTCTGCTGTAAAGTTGATCACTTTAACATGGAGGTCAATGGAAGTGGACTCAATTTCAAGGTACCCTCAAGTGGACATTTGAGGAACTGCAGTTTTTTCCATGCTGGCTCAATTTCTGGGGGTTACTGTTGAGGGATAAATTGCTGGCTTCATGTAATGTTCCTCTTGGCTTCTATTAAATATGCCCAACGGCAGTGACAGAGAAAGTCTTGGTATGTGTGCAACATTTGCCCAAATGTGATTGGTTAGTGCATCAAGTTTCAAGTAGCTACAAATAAACAAACCTGAACTAATAGAAAGCTAATCAAAGTGCCCAAATAACAGTGTATAGCCATAAGTAAGTTTACCACTCAATGATCCTTCTTTAATTATAACAGTGGTAATAAAGCAACCACAAAGACAACAGAACTCCCTTGAACGACTTTCTACTTGTTCTTCTGGGACCATGTTGCTCATCATATCTGTATCCCTTAATGTAACGACATGCAGTTCAGACGTGTTGCATTGAAGGTGATCGGTAAATGTTATCAGCTGCGACTTGGTAAGATTCCTGTTGCATAAGTTAAGTTAGTAACCAGGGTGCTCATTCAGACATGAAGCCATCAGATGCCGTCAGATTACTGGAGAGTGTCTGAAAAGAGCTTCAGAGAGGGACAGGAAAGGTAAGATAAGACTGATGGATGAAACAGTTTGTGACGGAGCCAGCTTCAGGTCCCAAGTGTTGTGGGTACGTGTGCCTTAGCCAAGTGAGCCACGAGGACACCCCAAGTATGAGAAACCCACACCTTCCGCTCCGTGGACCCAGTCAAAGCAGAGCGCTAATGAGCTGGCCATTTTTATATGTTCTGGCTTTGATGTTTTGCTAAGGGACACTGTAGTGAGGATGGCAGGAACCTTGGCCTGTGACCTTTTGGCCTCCGGCCAGCCTCCCCAACCTCTAAACCACTCCGTTTCCTCTGTGTTTATTCAGCCAGGACTATAATTAGAGGAGGGAAAACCCATTGTTGCATCTTGACAAACCCTCGCCCCGGGCCCGAACACAGCTGGGTGCTTTGCGTTGGCACCGCCGCTTTTGCCAGGCCAGACAGTGCAGTGTTTACCCCCTGCCAGCCTGCTTACGCTGCCCAGCCAGTCAGCCAGTCAGCCAGTCAGCCAGCCAGCCAGCCAGGCCACCATGCCCAGCCCCATTCCGGATACTATGCCCACTCTTACTCACTCTCCCCGCCTGGTCTGGCCTCATGCTCAGCAGCCCCCGCCCCCCTCCCGCCCAACCCGACTGGCCCCTGACTGAACCCAAGAGCCCACTCCACTTTGCTGCCACTTTGCCACCAACAGTGTTGGGGTCTCGTCTGGTCAATTTAGATTCCATTCAATTACAGAATCCCAGCGAACACACAAGACAGAATTGTTGGAGGAAAAACTGCTGTTTACTCTAATCCACATCTAAATATAAAGTGTCTGGGAACACAAGGCCCCCAGCTGTGCTTTGGAGCTGGTCAACGTGTAGCGATGGGCATGGCCTCCTCTGTTTGGAGTTGATTGAATGTGGAGAACGGGGGCTCGCCTTTGCTTTAAGTGTCTAGTCATTATTGGCTGATGCGTACAACCTTCCAAACGACTTAAAGGGCAAAATTTAACTGAGGAAGCATTTCTAATACAAATTAGATGACTTCTAATCTCCAGAGAGCTGCACTCTCTACAGCAGGAAGACAATAATTATCAATAAATTCAGAACTGCCAACCTTATCAGTCATTCTAGAGCTATTGCGAACTTTCAGCTGCTAATATAAACCTACATATTTGGCGCTGTAGAGGGTTTTTTACTTGATTTAGAACTTTTTTGGTTTAAGTTTTATAGAAACTCCACACAGAACGTTTTTCCTCTTGTGTTTTTAGCCTGTGCTTGGCTGTTCAGCTACGTTACTCAGAGCTTTCAGGCTGTGACACCTAAAATATTAGCGGCGGAGGAAGCCGAGGAAGCGAGGTCGGCCATACTAGCCTCTGAAGTCCATGTGCAAACCTCACTAAAGTGCTGGCGTGTCATATATATGTACACAGTTTTTTCCTGCAGTTCCTGTCTGGTTCCTGTGAGAGCTCCAGGACTGTTAAACCTCTGACCTCAGTGTGCCACAGCAGTTACCCCTCCCCCCAATAGCAGGAAAGCCAGGAGCAGATTGGTTCCCACTGCTGCTAACCGAGTTTAAGGTTCTCTTGGTTTAAAAGAAAAAAAGAAGGTGAATTGTCTGAATTAAGCGTCACATATACAACGACATGTCCTCGAGGCAGCAGTTGCTTCTCTTGTAGCTGCAGCTTATCAG